GAGAATCCACACTGGAGAGAAGCCGTACTCATGTGATCAGTGCGGGAAGAGTTTCCCATACATACAGAGTCTTAATATTCACATGAGAGGTCATAGTGGAGAGAAGCCGTACACATGTGATCAATGTGGGAAGAGTTTCATACATAAAGGATCTCTCAAGGAACACATGACAATCCACACTGGAGTGAAACCACACACATGTGATCAATGTGGGATGAGTTTCAGACAAAAAGGATCTCTTAGTGAACACATGACAATCCATACTGGAGTGAAGCCATTCGCATGTGATCAGTGTGGAAAGAGTTTCAGAAAGTCTTGCAGTTTTAAAATACACCTGCGTCGTCATTCTGGAGAAAGACCATTTACCTGTGATCAGTGCGGTAAAACTTTTTTTAGGTCAGATGCGCTGAAGGACCACCTGAAAGTTCATACAAAGGAGAAGCCTTACATGTGTTCTTTGTGTGGAAAGAGTTTTAGTCAGTCGGGTACTTTAAAATTACATCAGAAAAGACACAACAGTGTGAAGGATCACATGTGCTTTGATTGTGGGAAGACTTTTGTTAGAGATGCTGAACTGAAACTGCACCAGAGAATGCACAGTGAGGAAAAACCTTTCAAGTGTTCAAAATGTGACAAGAGATTCAGTCGGTCAGATTATCTGAAATCACATGAGAGGGTTCACACTGGAGAAAAACCTTACAAGTGTTCACACTGTGACAAGAGATTCAAATGGTCAGATCATCTGAAAAAACATGAGAGGATCCACACTGGACAAAAACCCTATCACTGCATTCCATGTGGGAAGAGTTTCACTCATTCATCTTCTTTACTCAGTCATACAAAAAACAAATGTCTGAAATCATGAACTCTGAATATCTGAATTCTTCTTTGGATCCAGGAGATGGATTTGGATTTAAATGAGACACATGTCCTCACCAAACATGACCCAATAAAGCAAGCAATAAAATCTCTTCTATATAAATCTGCTCTAACCAGCAACAACAAGTGACAGAACAACAAAACATCATCTGAAGGTGTTACAGTGAAATTAAAAGTTAGAGTTTCTCCCAAATCAACAATATCTAAGAAGTTTTATTGTTGTATGAGTTTACTACATGATATAATTTAAATCATGATGCTGTATTATGGTTTTTGCAATTTGTTCAATTTGTATATAATTTTCTTAAAAGATTGAAGCAGAGTGGATTCCAAGGCTCCATCACCTTCTCTTCGCCGCCTTATTATATCCTCTTAGTCCATGTTTAATCACCATTTGTTAATCAGTATTATCTTTTATGCAGTGATTAAAATAAATGTCGAATAGTGTTAGCATGATTTAAGTTGTTTTTGATGCTCTTGTTCCTACGAGAAAACTCTTAGTTCCTTTGCTCTCTTTCATGAAGGAAAGTAAAGCATATTTTTATACACGTAAATTTTTTTTGTGTGTGTTTATATCAGCACGTTTCAACAGAAAAAGAGCAGTTGGAATAAAGACATAGCAGTTTGACTTGTTGTGCAACCCTTTCTGTTAATTTTGTTTAATATTATATTTTGTAAAT